TCCATATAGTCCACTCCATACAACTGTGAATAACCTTTAGCAACAAGTCTGGCCTTCAAACGCTCTACACTACCATTTGGCAAGTATTTAACAGTATACACCCATTTACAACCCACAACATGCTTATCAGGTGGAAGAGTAGTGAGCTCCCACGTGTGAGTATGCTGAAGAGCAGAGAGTTCCTCCTCCATTGCCTGTCTCCACCCAGGTGAACTAAGAGCCTMTTGGACATTGTTAGGTATGGAAATAGATGACAATAGTGAAACAAACCGGTGATGTGAGGCGGAAAGGCGAGATACTGAAACAAAATTGGAAATGGGATGGAGAGTAGAACTACGTTTACCYTTYYRTAAGGCAATGGGTAGATCAAGTCCTGAGGGTTCAGCAACAGGAGCAACGACAGGATCCACGGACAAGGTAGAAGTTGGAGGAGGGGCCGGTGTCGTTCGACGTGTATACACTTGCCGAATCGGTGGTCGTTTAGTAGGAATCTGCATAAGATGAGGTGACGAGTCAACTCCAACAGGAACACCCGGAACAGGATCACTGACTGGAAGAGGAAGAGGAAGTAAAGGTGGAGACGAAGATGTTTTAGTTCCTGAGAAGAAGGGGACACTCAAAAAAGGTGACATCAGGACAAATATAGCACTTCCGAGTAATGGGATTATAACACTTGTACCATTTTTGAGTCCGAGAGTAGCCAAGAAAGACACACTTAATGGAGYGTGCATCCAACTTGTYTATTSYAGGACTCAGATTGTGAACAAAGCACACACAGCCAAAGATACGAGGTGTTAATGGAAAGGGAGACAAGGTGGGGAACAAGATAGAGAAGGGAGACCGACCATGAAGAATGAAGGATGGCATCCGATTAATGAAGAAACACGCAGTAAGTACATCATCACTCCAAAACCGTTTAGGAACACTCATATGATGAAGAATAGAYCGARCWRTTTCRAGGAGVTGACGGTTCTTTCGTTCAGCCACCCCATTTTGTTGAGGAGTGGATGCACATGAAGTTTGATG